CTTTTGCATCTGCCTCTCCTCCCATGCTTTCACTCTTGGGTGCTTCAAGTTAAGTCACAGTGTGTGTGTGTGTGTGTGTGTGTGTGTGTGAAAACATTCCCAGTGAAGGTCTATTACTTTCAGCATCAGATGTCAGGTCTAATTAAAAAAAAAAAATTAAGCCTTCCCTTACATCCTGCTGCTTATAGCACTACCTTCTCATGATACTCTTCTCTTTTCCAACTTTGACACTCAGACTTTTACCCTGCTAGAGTTAAAAAAAAAAAAAAAAAGATCCTTAGGCTTCTGGTGATAAGCCTCTGTCAATTTGAGAGAATGAGACTTTGAAAACAGATAGCAGTTTCTTCCATCTTGGTAGGACCTGTCCTTCTAAAGTTTATGTTCTATTGGCAAAGAACTCTGCCTCCTCCAGGATCGTCTTCAAGCCACAAGATGGTACCAGAAGAGAACTTTAGTGGAAGAAATGAGGACAGGGGGTGTCAAAATCAGAAGTGATACAGGACAGTATTCCAAACCTATCACTGTACTCAAGGAGTGCTTAATGAGAGTGAATCATTGTTGCTAAAGCAGAAAAATATATTCTAACATGTTATCTGGTAACCACCCAGCCACACCAATTTCTCAGATTTAGAATCAGACTGTGTTGCAAAACAAAATGCTTGTTAGTGTTTTTGTTTTTGTATATGCCCAGTGTTAAGGGTTTTGTATTTTTGGGGAGGTGATGATAACAGGGTCGTCTGATTAATCCTCTGCCTGTATTCACCAAAGTTACCATTACAAAGGTAAAAACAGTAAAATGGTATGGGGGATATCTTTTGCCAGAACTCAGTGTTTGGGAGGTTCTGAAGGAAAGTATGGGAGAGAAAAGGTATTAGACTACCAAACAGAAGGTCTACAGAGCCATTATACCGACCTCATTGTTACATGCCTGTGAAACCTGGACAGTATACCAGCACCATTTCCAGGAAACAGAATTGCTTCCATTTGAATTGTCTTAGGAAGATTCTGAAAATCACCCGGAAGGATAAGGTATCAGACACTGAAGTTCTTTATTGAACAAACTGCCAAGCATTAAAGCTCAGAGAGGACAACTCTGATGAGTTGGCCACATTGTTCGAATGCCAAATATGTGTTTGCCTAAAAGACTGTTTTACAGAGAATTCATATATGGAAAGTGTTCATATGGAGGTCAGAAGTGATACAAGGATACTCTCAAGGTCTTTTCTGAAGAACTTTGGAATTGATTGCATGACATAGGACATACTCGCACAGCATGGGAGACAAACCCAGCATGGTGTGCTCGCATCAGATAGCACTATGTTCTATGATCAAAGTAGAATTTTGCAGTATCTCAAAAGAAACATGAGATGCACAAGTTTAGAGACATCAGTCCAAATGTTCATGTGGACTATTTGTGCCTAACCTGTGGTAGAGTCTTTGAAAACACTACCTGGAAAGTATAATTCCTGAAAAGTATACTGCTGAGATCAGTGAACTTATCTAAATCATTCAATATTTCTCCATTTGCCATAACCAATGATTCCATGCGGTGCTGGCTGCTGGAGAATCTGTATTTTCTTAGTGTTAATTGTTAGGCCAAAATTAGCACAAGCAGCAGAGAATCGATTCAAACTTGCAAACAAAAAGTTGTGCACAGAAAGTTGCACACCAACTCTCTCTCCACTTTAGTCTTGGCCTGTAGCTTTTTCAAGTTAAATACCTTATTTTTTTTTTTTAAATCACGGAAGCAGAGGAGTTGCAAAGCTTATCTCTGACAGAAGCATCTAGGAGCTGATAGGAAACCCGTAACTTTTTATATGTGTTGTGTGTTTTTTACCACCTACAAATTAGTTGACTAATCAGTTTTAGGAGTTCACACTTATTGGTGTTGACCTAAATAAATGAAACCTTTAATTTCTCCTGATTATTTAAAAATGGGAGTTATTCAGAGCATCTAACTTCCAAGCTATGCTCAGGCCTTCATTTGCTTCCCAGAATAATTAATCTGCATAGAATGAATCATTTTTGGGACAGTATACCCTGTGAAAGAAATAAAATCTGAGCTGTGAAAACAAAAATCTTGCTCCTCACACACAAGAATTTGCTAACTGATTACTCTGAGGACTAAAGAATTCAAATCCATGAGCTGGAATTATTTGTGATTCAAAATAAAATCCTTTGGGGACAACATCAGGTTTTTCTTTTGGCTAAATATGTAGGAAATGAAGGTATTATTGAATAATTTTCTTTTTCTAATCTGGGATCTAACATCAGATAGGAATCAAGAGCATAAAATACAGGATGGGATCTTCAGGTGATGGGAGATCACAATCAATCTGCAATGTAGATTTTTTAAAAAAAATCTTGCAACACACCATAGTGAATCTGAAATGTTAATTTTGAAAAAAAAATGGCACCACATATGATCCTCACTTCATCCCTGTTATAGGCACTTAAGGCCAGTTCTTGGCTTTATAACTTGAAATATGTAGAGATCTTGAAGTAATTCAAAAGAAAGCCATGGAGGTGATTAATGGGCATATATGCTCTAGGCAATCTTACAAGATTGTACTCATAAATACACACACCATAGCCCCCTCCATTTGAAAACTGTGTTCCCTCTGGGACACTGTCTTTTAGAGGATTTGAACCTTTACTCTAAAAGGGTAGAAAATCTGAGTCCAAAGGCTTCTGTTTCCTTCTGCTAGCCTACTGGTCAAGGGCAGCTGCAAAAGCCCTGGAGAGTAAGTTAGATTTAAAGTAAAAAGAACTGAGTTCTCCCACTCGAGCTGCTCTCTAGCACATGGTATCAGAATAGCAGCACAGCTGAAGAGGCTGCAGAGCTGAAGACCAGCAGATAGTTGTATATACTCAGGAGACATCCAACACTGAATGTGTCCACGAAAGGGTATAGAAACAACAAAGGCCTCTGATTAAGCAAAGATATCCCAAATGATTTGGAATATCAGAAGTATGAATTATCCCAGCCACATGTGTGCCCTGGCCAGTGTGCCCTCCCCTTTGGTGCTATGGTAAGCTGTAGGGTGACAAATCTTTATTGATTAAATGTCTTTTGCTTTGAAATAACATTCTATTGGGTAGCTGGTAAAATAAACACTGTCGTGGTGGCTTGTAAACTATGGTATTAGGTGGATAATTGACACCCAAAATGTGATTTGAGCCTGGGGTAGTAGTATTTAGGGGTTGGAGCCCTTGGTTCTTTGCAACTATACAAAGGTTAAAAATTGTCCCTCACTGTTACTTTCCCCTCTTCATCTTGTCAATATATTATGACCCTCAGTGGCCAATAATCTTACTAATCTATCCCTGCAGCTGGCTGTTTTTATGCTTCTTTTAATCTAGAAATAGTCTTATAGTAATAAAGGTGGCTTATAATAAATAATAAGTTGTACTAAATGGTGACTCCACAAATTCCTTTCTATGTATTGAAGTACAGATTATTTTTGAACTTCAGATTTACCTATTTAGTTTTTGTTATTTCCTTTCTTTTTTTATTCATTCATTCATTAAGACTCCCTCTCTTGCCTGGACTGGAAACGTAGTGGTCACTCATGAGCCTAATCTGTCCTCTACTGATTTGTATGGAAGTTTTGAACCGCTGTTCCTATCCTGGGTTGGTATGCCCCACTGTAAGCAAGCTGGTGTCTCCCCATCCCTAGGGGCTCACCATATTGGTGCTAGGCTTATTATACCCAGTTGGCTGAGCTCTACTGCAGCTCAGAACTCCCGAGCTCAAGTAATCCACCAGCCTTAGCCTCCCCAGTAGCAGGGTTTATAGGCATGTACTACCACACTTGTCAAATTGACTTTTTGAAAGACATGCTGTGTTGTATGTTTTCCCCAGTTATATGAGGGTTTAAAAAAAAAAAAAAAAGACAAGACCTTTACCCACACCCCCTCCCCCGTCATTTGGAAAATACCATGAAGAGAAATGTGTATATACTTCTCTTTTCCCTGACATATCCATGTTAACAGATAAATCGTCCTTTAGGAAGAGAACTACCTACTATACTCAGCAGTGAAGTGAAGGTTAAATAGATTTTTTATTGATACAGTACTTCCAGCTGCCTGTCATTTTTTCCAGTCATTCATGAACCAGAGTCATACTGCTGGTTTCTTATTTATTACCACTAATAAATGATTGTATAATACTGACCAGAAGGGTTACACATCTCACAGAAAACTTCCATGACAAGCACCATGATATGTACTGTAGAAACACAGCAGGGGCCATAAACAGTATTAAAGAAGTTTTGTTAACCAATAATGATGATTATTACATACCAGAAAGCAATCACACTAGTTATTAGTAAAAGTTTACAAACATTAAAAAGTGCATAATAACATCTGGAGCCATTGAGGCCTGAAAAAAAGACACCACTTTATCTTAACAATTTAAAAATCAAAACAAAACCAAAAAGAAAAAAACCCAAACAAACCCCAAACAGCAGGGCTTTACTTATGTGATTAGTGTCCACATGATTATGATGGGATCATTTCTCCACTCTTTTTCATCCTTACACTGGGAGGTGGGTTTCCCCCCAAAAATCAAAGAAGTAGCACAAATCTATACTTTAGCAACAGAAAATTAGGTCCTCCAGAAAGACACATTTCCAACTCTTGGAATGACTTTTTCCCCTCTCTTTTTCCCCCTCAAAAGTTTAAAAGTGATCCAAAAAAACTGAAGTTTTAAAAGCTCCTGAACCTGGGAAAAAAACATGAATTGACATATTGATTCCCAATTCCTGAAGAAACAGCTAGCAAGGGGCAGGCAAAGTGGCTATTTCAAACATGATAGGGGCACCCACATACATTGAATTTTAAGATAATATTCACCTTAATTAATCACTTAGGAGGCCTGTGTAACAACGTAAAAATACAGTGAAGTGTTGATGAGTTAGTATTAGGCCCAATCAATTTAGGAGGTGACATTTTAATCCATCATGTGTACACCACCACATTATACTTGGGGGGGGGGAATAAAAGGGGTAGGGAGAGACAGGAAAGGAGAGAGGGAGGGAGGGGGAGAGGGAGAGAAAGTCTTTTCAAAAATAAGTGGTAGAAAAATTCACAGTAACATAAATTTTTTTTTCTCCATAAGCAAAGGGGGCAGTGTTGAGCATCTAAATCATATAATACAACAACATTGTAAATAACAGCTGTAAAACATAAATACATGGTTCTAAAAACAGTGCTTTCTTTATGATTCTTTTTTTTTTACTGGGAGAATACTTTGGCCAGAGATTTTTTTTTTTGAGCTCTGAGGATCACTTTAACCCTTTGCAAATAAACACAATTAAATCCTCTGACATTATGAGGGGCCATTTTACTACAGGAAGAATCATCATCTGTTCGTGCTACTCTCTACAAGCATTTCATCATGGGATCAGGTGAAAGGATCCATCCGATGGAGATGTCCCAAGCTTAGCCATGCCAATTCAACCACTGCTAATGACAGAGGTAGAGAAAAGTCTGTCTGCAGCTGCTTTAGCCTGTGTACCTATTTTTAATAGGACAATGAGCAGGTTTCAGCAATGCAGAACAGCCATTTTTTTCTTTCCTCTCCTCTTACTTATGGAAATACATGCATTCCAGTCAGGCCTTGAAGGGTGAGAACGTCAGCAGCTGTGTCTGTAGGGCCAGGGGAGACATTAGCTATCTTGCTTGGGCGCTCCCCCCTGGTTCCCCCCAGTTTGCTCTGGTGGGTTTTTCTGCCCATCGCCTTCTCCTTCTGTAAGAGACAATGATCAAGGAAGAAAGGGACAGTTAAAAAATGCGGGCAACATTTATTGGCAATTAAGACAAGATACGGTATGACCCTTCCCTCCAAGACCTGGAAGAACATTGTATTCTTTTTAAGTGCTTATGTTCCATTTGCTATGGATATTGTATCATGTTTTATATTTACTTACTAGAGTGGAAGCTTCTGGAGGGCAGGGACTTTTTTCCCCTCAAGCCCCAATCATAGTGTGCTCTTCACCTGGCAACCTTTTAATTAATGGCTGCTGAACTGAATTGAAAAGCAGCAGAAACCAGGGAAAAACAAAACACACTGTGCTGGGAGATAAACTGAGAAGACTTCAAATCCTCAATTCTAGTCATGGTACTTTTGCTTGGTGAGCAGCCAATCACAAAGACAATGGCTTAAATGTTTCAAGGACTGGCTGGTTCTGATATTGTGAAATGTGCCATGAGCTCTGGACATCCTCATTAAAAAAAAAAGGCTATAATTAACTTCCATCTTGGAGTGATCTTTCTTTGTGCATATCTATATCTATATATCTATATCTATATCTATATATCTATAGATATCCATATCTATATCTATAGATATATCTATATATCTATATATATCCATATCTATATCTATAGATATATCTATATACATATATACATATACTATATATCCATATATATATGTGTATATATATATATATGACACATGGTGTGGGTAAACAGGAAACCGAAGAATTACTTTATGAGACACCTAAATAGATATCTTCACTTTTCCCCAATCTATGGTCATGTTTTCTAAGCATATAAGAAGGCAAGTGATGTCTGACTTGATGTCTTATTTTTAGAAGTATAGTGAAAAAAAAAAATCTATAGAATACGGTGTTAATCCACCAGTGAGATTCCTTTATAGTATCAAGGAAAAATGGATCTCAGTACAGTATTTAAGAATAGAAGGTAGAGTATTTGCCTACATACAGTCACAGCACAGAGGTCTTATTACTTCAACTTTAAAGACAAACAGCAAAGCTAATAGGACATGATCACATGACAGCTGGCCACAGACTTGCATGAAATGGGCTGTGATTTCAATTCAGCTCCCAAAGGACAAATGCACAGCCACTTGAACAGCCTCCATGGCAACTGGCACCCTCAACAGCAATTTTAGCTAATGACTTAAGAGCTTTAGACATTAAATAATTCTCTCTCCAAGGCAAGGGCATCATAGTACTGGCTAAAAACTAAAGGACTGTATTGTTCCATATAAAGAATCTATCTTTTCCAGACATTTTGCTGGTGTTAAAACTCAGTCTGTATCAGTACTTCTTTACAAATAAATTTGCAAATAAAATTTTACCTTTGATCAGATTGTATTTGGGGAAGGCAGCTGTGTTTATATTCAGACTGATAGTGTTAAGTGGAATGGAAATGAAAAGTGACCCTGGGTAAGTCACAGCTTCTGAGTTACCCAGTTTCCTCATTTGTAAAAATGGGGATAACAGGAGTTAAATCTTCTACGTAAATGATTTAGAAGACCATTCGTGACCATACAATGAGGCTCAGAAATTAGTATGACCATGGGAAAATGCTTCCATAGGTGACTGGAGTAAAGGAGGTTAATGACAAAAATAAAGGCTCCATATGACCTAAAATATTTGTAGCAGTGAAGAACTGGGGGAAAAATGTAGATATCCAACAAATTGGGATTGGCTAAACCAATCTCTAACATTCATGTAATAGAAACATGAATGTACTAAACTTAAAAAACGATGACCACAATGAATAGAGAAGCACAAGAAAATTTATATGAGCTGTTGCAAAGTGACTTAAGTAGAATCAGGGAAACAATACCCTATACTCAAATGACAACTAAAATGAAAAGAACAACAAAACAAAGGAAACTGAAGGCTATTAAAGAGTTAATTAACAAGTTTAGCTCCAAAGCAGATGTAAGAAAATACCTTCCCACTGCTTCTCCACATACATTGGGAACCACAGATGTGGTACATTGCACAAAAAATGAAACTTTTTTGGGGGGGCTAAATTGTTATTTTTTCCTCTTTGTTATAACAGATGGTTCTCTGGGAAGGTGAGGGGAAAAGAAAACATTGGGAAATGTTAAGTGATATAAGAAAAAAAATACCAAAATCTATTTTAAAAAGAGTAATAATGACTAAGAAGTCAAAACTGGATACTTACCTTTGCCCAGAATCATAAAAACACAAACAGAACTCTTTCATCCAAGGTTATGTTCACATGTTGCTTTTCACATTCAACAAAGTCCTATGAGGCATATTTCAATTATCCCATGAACAAACATGTATCTGAGCTGGCCTGACGATGACCATTACCAAATTCCTCAACTCCCCAACCTCCAGAAAAGATTCTCTTCCTCCCAAAAGCGCACACACACACACACACACACACACACACACACACACACACACACCACTCACCAGGCTTGTTGATATCAAGGTCCGATAGCTTGAGGGACACATCAGAGGTGTTGGTGGTCGAAGAAGTCACGATGATATCGTGGATGGCATTCCTTCTACCGGTTCTTCCTGAAGCAATAAAATCTGCATACGTAGTTTCCACATCCGTCATTGCTAACAAATATCCACATAGCAGTGCCTATAGAAGACAACAGTGAAGATGAGGTGAGTACATAAAAGGCAGTCACATGTTCAACTACTGTCCTACAGCAACATTAGCTAAAAAAATTCTTCTTATTTTAAGTCTGTTGTAAGACTTAAAAGCTGCTTGCAAATTTGGCCTTTTTGCTAAGGATTGAATGATTAGATCATAAAACTTTTGACTTCCTCTCTGACCTCAGTTTCCTTACCTATAAAATGGACTAGATGTTCTCTAAGTTCCCCTCCAGCTCTAAATCTTATGATTCTAAGGGAAAAAAATGCACAAAATTTTCAAAGTAATATCTATTATTTTTTTTTGAGAAAAAAGTAATAGGATGTGGTAGAAATGTCACTGGACTTGGAATCGGAAGACTTCGGTTACAATGGCAGTTTTCATGTTTACCAACACTATGATTTCAGAGAAATCCTTTAACCTCTTGGAGCTTCAGATTTCCTCATATGTAAGTAAAATGGAGACAATGATACCTGCCATAGAGTTAGTAGTAGAACCAGTATTACATTCTAGGTCTCCTGATTTTCATCCTGATGCTCTTTCCACTAAACCAGGGGGTCAACAAAACTCAACCTCTAGGTCAAATCTAGCTGGCTTCCTTTTCGTAGGCCCTCTGGCTAAGAGTGTTTTTTTTTTTTTAATTTAAATAAAGTTTTATTGTATTAAAAAATGTAAGAATCATTCTTGCCTCCAGGGCTGTACAAAAATAGGCAAAAAGCCCTTGGTACATTGTAGTTTGCTGACCCACGCATTAAACCAATTAAACAATGTACTTTCTATCTTAGGATTTGGGTAAGGGTGTAAGCCTCGTTCTTCTGATTTGTGATTTGTTCACTCGAGTGAATATCAAGAATACTTTTATTACTAACTTACAATATAAAATAACATTTTTATCACTGTATTCCCAGGCATAATAGCACAATAACTTGCATACAGTACAGGTTTAATAAATATACACTAAATTTGAGTTTCCGAGACCACAAATGTATACCTGAGGCAAACGCAATAGGTTTCTTACACCAACGCTCTCAGGAACACTAGGAAGGGAAAGGAACAGTAGTAAATTACAGGATCATAGGACTGTAGCTGGAAGGGCCCTCTGAAGCCATCAAGTCCAATCTCCTTATTTCATAAACAAGGAAACTGAGACCCAAGGAGATTAAGTGATTTTCCCAAAGTCACTAAGTAGTGAGAATCAGAGGTGAAACTTGTTTCTTAGGGATTTTCCCCCCATTAGTTCTGCTCTTGCCTACTGGTCCTGAGCTCATAGACCAGTGTTATTTCTGTAGCTACTTTATCATTTTATATGGTGATAGTAAGATTTCTTGGCATTTCACATCATCCCAGTATGTAGTAGAAAGAAGGAAAACATGTTCGTTAAGGGTAAATGAATTAAACTGCAAGAGAGGGTATAGAAATTAGAAAGCTATCTTGGTGTATATTCATGTGGTATATCTGAAGGACAAAATTCTAAAAAGAAATCGTATATCTAGAGCTGGAAGGTGCCTCAGAGGTCATCTAAACCCAGGCCTCTTATTAGGCTAAGGGAACCTAATATCATAGAGGTAAGAAGTAGTCAGTCAGCTGATTAGCATTTATTAGGTATCTACTATGTGCCAAACTAGGTGGCTCAATGGATGGAATGCCAGGCCTGGGGTCAGGAAGACTCATTTTCCTGAATTCAAATTTGGGCTGTGTGACCCTAGGCAAGTCATTTAACTCTGCCTACCAAAATTTTTCATCCGTAAAATGAGCTAGAGAAAGAAATGACAAACCACCCCATTATCTCTGCCAAGAAAATCCCAAATGGGATCACAGAAATTCAGACACAACTGAAAAACGACTTAACAATAACAAACAAACATGTTAAGCACAGCCATAATTTGAACTCCAAACTAGCACCTTTCATACTGCACCACAATTCCCCATCACATGTCGAGATCAAATTTTAGCACAGGAAAGAACCTCAAGATCATCTCATTCAGCTTCTTTCCCATCTCATCTTGAACTATATTAGCAGCACAGGAAGAAACTTTTAAGATCATCTTATCCAACTTTCCTGTTTTTCAAATGAACAAAACTGAGGCTCAAAGAGGTAAGTTGGTTTAACCAAAGCCAGACACAATGAGGTAGAGGTAGAGCTGAGTTTAGAACCCAGGTTGGACCCATGTCCAGTGTTTTCCATTCATTATACTTTATTGTAATGCACTAGCTTCAGTAGCATCATTTAGGAAATGTTACATTCTGAAAGAGACACCTCAAAAGTGTGAGAAAAATTAATACCAAAAAACTTGATCCTTTCTCATAAAATGAATGAATAAAGCATTTATTAAGTACTTAACGTGATGAATATGTGCAAAAGCATTGTATTAAGCTCTGGGGATACGAAAAGTAAGGATAGTCTCTGCTCTCAAGGAGCTTACATTCTAGTGAAGGGGAAAACATATATGGAAGGTTTCAGCTCCAAATCAGTCAGAAATGTCTCATAGTCCTCAAGTCCAGTGACAAAGCAGATGTTAATGTCTCTCCCTTGATGTCATTTGCACTGATAAAATCAGATTAGTTGCTAATCTGGAACCATAAGACAGCACCAAGGACTTTGATGGAAAGAACTTTCTTTTCTGGGTTTCTAGTAGCTGTGACTCTAGGGCCTGCAGGATACATCTCCACTGAGGCTGCTTCTCAGGATGATGGCTGGGGTTACTGGTCTGGAAGTACTGATATTCCCAAGGCCCCTACTCTCAGGGTCCTTGTCTGTCCCCATCAAGATCCTTGGGGAGATGGCGGTCAAAATGGTGGTGATGGTTTGACTTGTCTGGCACATGCTGCTTCCCATGTCTCCATCAAGATGCTTGTTGATTCAGCTAAGCTGGCTATCCTCTCCTGTTGTTTGGAAGTTGGGGGGGGGATGGCTGGCCTCTTCTCTATAGAAGTTGCTTCCCTTGATGATGTCTGTGAGGGCTGGACTGGGACCAATTAGGCATAGTGGATGGAGTGCTTGTTTCAGAGTCAGGAGGACCTGGATTCAAGTCCTGCCTTAAGCAACTCCTCAGCACAATGAAGTTGCAGGGCAGGTGTTGATCTCCCTTGCCAGGAGCCCCTTATACTGATGAAATCACAAGTTTGACCAAATATTATAAACGTGCATGCCCACTCAACACACACAATTCACAGCCCCAACTCTAAATGAATTCTCTAAGCATAATGGTGTGAATGACTCCATCAGGACACACTGGCATTAGTCACATCCTGCCCCCATTTCTACAACTTTGTGCCCCAAAAAAAGCAAAAATGCAAATTACTCTCTTCTCACTGACTTACATAATTTTTAGCCCCCAAATACCCAAGTCATAACCGAGAACACCTGCTTCTAACTCAATCTCCTTAATGTAAAATGTCACCGTTGTTTCTTCTGTGTACTTGGCATTTCACATCACCCCCAAACCAAGTGAACACCCCTTGTATCTGAATTAAAAGATGATTATGAAACAGGTAAAGGAACTTAGAATTATAGACTGAGGTAAAGAAAAAAGAATATATGGAAGAAAGCTTGGGACAATGACAAGTCTCAAAATTACCTACAACTACATAGTTTCTTTGGCCAAGAATCAGCTCTATAACTAGCTGTAACTTCTTCTGAGGCAAATATGTTTGGGTATGTAAGGGTAAGTAGAGAATGTGGCAGCTGTAAGGCCGAGTCCAATCCAAACTCAAATTAAATGGAACTGGGGAGGGGCATTGGTTGGGTAGCCTGATAAACTGGTCCCTCACCCTTTTCCTTTAATTCTCCTACATTTGTTCTAATGTGCCTTTTGAGACCTTCACTCTATTCTAAATAAATAAATGATAAACAAAACAAAAAACCCCACAGTCCTCAAACTTTTTCTTTGTGCATTCCTCCCACATCTTCACATTCACAGAAGCTGGGATTAAATTCTAAACATAACTTTCATGTGCTTTGCCTACATGAGCAATGAACTAGCTGGTGACACAGAATGGTTGATGCCACATAAATTAGCATTATCCGTGTGAATGGGGGAAGAAACGAATCAGAATGGATAAGCCAAACATTCATATTTGGTTTCAGAGCACAGACCACCCCCAACACACTTTTTTTATGCAACATAGTGATGAATCTCTTCCAATCACGTTCTACTGTGAATGAACTGGAGGGATAGACACAGCCAAATTTGTGTTGCTATGAACAACACACAGTTAACTTTCCTTTTCATCTCCTCTCATAGGCAAAACATATCAATTATTGGACCAGTATTTACCTTACTGATAGCTTTCTGGGTGGTCACTTCTCTTTCCCATTCCCCTCAGTGAAGTGTACCCTAAAATGACTTCATTATTGTTCAGTTTTTTTATGTATCTTTTTCTCCTAAGTTTATGGTGGGTTTGATATACGTGGTAATAGTACTTTCCAAACTATTCCATTTAATTTTTAGTCAAAGAGATAAGTCCCAGTTCTTTTAGTCAAATGCACGATCACTAGAGATCCTGGTATAAGAGTGGCTCCAACTGTGTATTTGGAAGGTGGACTGCAAGTACGTAGGTATAAAAAGAGCCTTAAGAGATTCATTTCCTGTTGGTTTCACAAAACAATAAATACTATATTCAATGAAACCAAAGGAGTGCAATAAATAGGTTGAGCTAAAGGAAAATTTAGAGGTTTCATTTTAAGAGTAGCAATGGACAGATTTCAGTACCCCATATAAAGAACCTAATAAGGATGCATTTAGGTAAATGAAGTTAAATTTATATGCTAAATACATATCAAATCTTTCCATTTGATTATCTAACTGAAAAATGAAGTCTAAATACATCTTAAAATGGAAACAATGTTTAAACACATTTATTTTGTACATGAGATAGAAAAGATTATATATAAGTATTTAGTCTGATAGAAAAGAGAAAAACTTGATTCTTTAAAAATAAAACTATTTTGGATGCAATTTTTCATAAATCACAAATCTCCCCAA